AAGAGCGGAAACACCAGAATTAATCTTTGAAGCTGCCTCGGTAAAATGCCGTGTCTTAGGCTAAACCCTTCCGAACCCTCCAAGAAACCGTGGAGGGTCTCAAAGGGAACATCCAGCAAACAGATGCCCTGGGAGGACTGCCCTCCCCAGGCTGCTCAGCATACTGCCCTGATCAAGCAAGACGAGGGCCCACGTCTTAGGGCCTCCGCCAACCACCAACACCAGCGCGTGGACCATCCAGTTCTGTGGCCTGGACAACGTTTGCTATCAGCACAGCTCTGCGATGCAGCGTCTCTCATTGCTCTCAGCACAGTGGGACGGGGTAACTGGATGATGCAGGAGACCGGGAACGAGATGCAGCCCCTTTCCTCTCCAAGTCTAGCCGAGGCCTCCCATGAGTGACTGCCCTCAGGAAGCCCATCATGGACCAGGACACTGTTGTGCCAGGCTCTGTGCAAATGCACAAAGAGATGGCCCCTGGCCCAGGGAAGGGCCGCGCTATGTGAATGGGCAGGGTTTCCTGGCAGGACCTCTGCCGCCTTATTCACTCTCCTTCCATCCACATCAGGACTGGGAAATAAGTGAGGGCAAATGGCGACTTTTCAATGACAACCACTGCACTGCGTAGGGAAGGAGCTCTTGACGTTTTTCATAGTCAAGGAGCCACGTCATAACATCCGGCACCACCAGTAGCCTCCTTTCAGGCAGCCTCCGCCAAAAGAGGATCAGTGTGATCCATCTCCCGCTCCCCGTAGCCCCGTGTTAGCCGCAGAGTCCTTCCCACTTCTGAGCGCAGAAGCCCGCCACACGTTTTTAGTGCAAGCAATACAACAGTGGTTCCCAAATAAGAGGTCATGACCCCCAATGCGGTCGAAGGACTTAACAAATGAGGTTGCAAAGCCTCATCTAATTCAATTACAGTGATTGGGACTGGCTTGGAAACCCAGTCATGGACCGACTGGGAACGGGACTGCCCTGGAAAAAAGGTGGGAACTGCTGCAGGAGAGGCTCGTGCTTTTAGGCCCCAGTTTTAATTCCAGCTGCAATGCCAGGAACTGAACAGAGCTAGAAAACAAGCAACCATCTCATCCCTGGGAGATTGCCCCCGTCAGGTCAATACTGAGACCCCCTGGCCGGGGCCGCAAGGGAGGTTTGCTGCAAATGCTGAACTGGTGCAAAACACAGGCTCTTCTGTTGCTTTTGTCCATACAAGGCTTTTGCTGTGATTTCTTTTACTCATCAACTACTTTGTTGTTTCAAAGGGTTACTTAATCCCGGTGGCTGTGTATAACAGGTCCTCCAAGGTGCGCTTGAAGAACAGCCACTGATGGTTTTATGAAAGGCCTCAAACCAGACGAGGGGATGAGATGATGATGAATTTTGGGGATGGAAATTCCTGCCAAGTCTTTTCTGCTGCTGGCCGTTGTTTTCAGTTTGGTAACAGAGGAAGATTTGCTCTGAAACAGCAGCATCTTGTTGCCCATGAGTGCTCCTTCCCCAGGGGCAGAATCCAAGCATGGACCCATAGCTAATGCCCATAACCCACACCAAAGCAAATGCAATGAGCTTTGAAATGCCCACACCATGCCTGTCCTCAGCTGGCTTCTCCTGTGAAATCTGCCCATGTGGACACTGGAAATATTTCTTACATGGGGAGGTGATGGAGCTGAAACAAGATCTGGGAGCACTAGGTGAAATTCTGTGGCCATTACGCAGTGAATGCCTGCCAGCAGCTGGTGCATGCATCTGGGATGATCTGATACTTTATCCCTCTTAGATGGTGCAGCCACTTGCCATCCAAGACGAAGATGCCCTTGGCCGTGAGTCAGGACCCGATGGGTCAGACTTTGGGATCTAGTTCAATCCACCTCTTGCACCATCAGGTACATAAGGCAAAGGTCAACCATTGCCAACTAATCCTACCCTCCACCGCTCTAACTGATTCAAGTTGTCGACTAGGACAGTCATTGCTTCAGTCGCCCTCTTGCTGCAAAGGTTCCTTCTGCCTGGACACCCAGAACAGGGCTCCCACAGGCAGCCTGTTGTCTGGCTCTTTTTAAAGAGTGATTTGGATGGAGAAACTCTGTGTTTGCTTTTAGCAGCTGAGGTCTGCAGATTTGCTTCTCCATTTAAACATACTTCTGCTTCTTTTCACTGGTTGTTCGCAGAGCTTCAGTGGTCAGAGAGACACTTAACGGCCATCTACTTAGGTACTTACACAAACCCTGATATCACAGCATCAGAGCAGCCTCTGGCACTCATGGATGCGTCTTCGCAACACACCTGACACAGAGAAGGCTTATCTCCTCTAACAGGGCGAGAGCCAAGTTGCAGAAAGGTTAAGCAGCTTGCCTGAGGGAATCCATGACAGGGACCAGAGCTGATCCTAGATCTCTTGCATCTTGGGCTGGCGCCTCAGCCCCTGGGACCCTGATTCCTCCCCACCGGCGGCCCAGACTGAGCTGCTTTTCCATTGCAGTCATCGCAGCGGCAGAAGCAATCTTGTGTGTGCATTTCTGGTGCTACCCTGGCACTGCCAAAAATGTTGTCTTATAGGTCACAACCTTCCCACCTCACGGTGACAACACAGACTAGAAAAGGAGCAAATAACGGCCCACTCCTTCCAGCGGGCAGATTATCCATCTTAACAGCATGAGCTTTTAGCTTTGGCGTGAGCAGAATGGGGGGAACGTCAGTGAGTTAATGCAGCAGCTCTTCACCTCTGCAGACCTTGGGGTTTGACTCAGGTCACTGAGTTGCATCTAATAAGGGACACAAGTTCATACCTGGCGGACGGTCACTCTTACAGACACTCGCCTCCTAATTTCTGCCTGGCCTAGCAGCGAGTCTCCAGCCAGGTGAGGCCCAGGCGTCACAGAAGAAGGCTGATATAATTGGCAGAGCTTTGGGTACTGAAATTAGGAAGAGGTTCTGCAAGTCCGGGCTGATGGGCATGGCCACGTCCAGCTGGGTCCATCGGAGCCTGCCTGCACTCTGTCCTGTCCCCTGCCGCCTCTGGGTCCAGCACTGCACGGAGCATTACAGCTCTCAGTCCTGCACCATGGCTGCTCTTTGCAGAGCCCGGCAGCCCTTCATTTTTGTACAGGCTGAGCTCCTCGAAGGCCCAGCGCTCTGCCTGGGGGACACCGCGGAGCTGAAAATTCCTGCATTCCAGACGGACGGGAACAATCACCCCCGGCACCGCTGTAATTGAATCCCGGGCAGAGCAGAGCTCCAGCGACCCTGCAGAAGGGGACGGATATTGATTCGTTCTCAGCATGGGGGGACAGCCCTCTGCCCTCCGGATTCCAGCTGCCTTTCTGCAGACAAGGGGACGGGCATGTTTATGGAGGAGACTTTCAGGATATGAGCGCTGAGCTCAGCTCTGCCCAGCTGCTGCTGGAAGACGTGTCACTGCCTGAGGGCAAGGCTGCACTTTGTAATACTTCTTTCATTCGGTCTATGTCCCCTGCTCAGTCACGCTGGCATCTCCGGTCTCTTGGGGGCTGCCCGCTTCTTGGGGTCCTTCATGCCCAGGGGTCGATGCAGCTCCAGTGGAACTAGACAAAAGCAAGGGGTCCTTTTCCCCCAAGGACCCCGCCAGCCCACGGCCACTTTTCCCAAAAACAGGCCTTTCTTAACACCTGTCCTAGGGAACCTTCCCACTCGCTCAGAAGCTCCTGGGGCCAAGCATGTCCCAGCACTGCAAGCCTCTCTCAGCTACAAGGATGTTGCCCCTTCCTCAGATTTATGCCCAGTGACAGTTTTACTGCGCTCTTGGTGCTAGGCGTGCCATGCTGCCAGGCCACACTGAAGAGACACAGGTCTAAGCCAACGGGAGGGCTGGAGCTACAGGGGTAATGATGGGACAGAAGTGTGCATGGAGGCTAGGCCGGTCCCAGCATCAGCTACGTGTTTATCAGTCTCCTTTTAGAAAGGGGACGGCCCCTTCCTGCCAGGACCGACTCTGACCACTCAGCTGCTTCTCCTCGGTGTACTCCCTGAAGGGTTTAGTGTGGCCTGGCTCACCTAGCCCTCCCTCTGCCATTGCCCATGAGCCCTGGCTTCTTACCTCTCACAAACACGTAGGTGCTGACCGCTGTGGTGCCCTCAATTTTGGCTTTGATGTACTTGTAGTAGCAGCAGTAGTAGCCTGTGTCATTAGCCTGGGTCTCCGTCAGCACCAAGATCTTGCAGTAGGGCTTTGTGTCAGTGCCCTTGCACTCGTCCTGCCGGACAGTCCGGCTGCCGCTGATGCTCACCAGCACGGTTGACTCGCTCTCCTTTTCGCTCTGGACAGGATCCACCTGGCCCCCAGGCCACGACCACTCCAGGGGGTGCTGCCCTCTTCACGGAAACAAAGGGGAGAGTTAGCCAGGACCAAGGACTGACAAGGCTAATCCATGCTTAGCCTGTCCTCTCTCTGCACAAGCGTGTGGCTCCCACCCTTCATATCAGACCATGCTTCTTCCTGGGACTGACCAGGGAAAGGGGGAACCAGATACTCCCTGAGACCAGGTGTGCCCGGCCCAGCTCTGCCCAAGCCTGTAGGTGCCCAGGTGAATGCCACTGTGTGGGTGGTGCCCAGAGGAGCAGCGGCATGGCCTGTGGGCAGAAAGGGGTGCAGTGTGATGATGAAAACCCATGGCTCCATCAGCCCAGCCGGTGACAAAGAAGAAGAGAGAGATGCCCCCTTTCCTGCAAGACACCAGTATGCTTCATCCATGGAGTCTCCCTTTCCTGAGCTCCCCCGACTCCACGTGCGACTGGTCTGGGCCAGCTCTCACGAAACGATGGGTGTTGCCCCTTGCCTAGCTCCCGTAACACAACGGGCATCTCATCATCTCCTCTGGTGCCCATGATTTCACGTTGCTCATACTGACTCCAAAGCAGGATGCAGAGGGAAAGGATCCGCTTATCCAAGATCTCCCTCCCCATTACTCAGAAGAGTTTTCAGCAGTAAAGAAAGCATATAGACATGACACACTCTGCCTCTGGCTCATGGCTGGTGACTCAGGCTCGGGTGTGAAAAATGGAGTAGGTAGGAGGACGGAAAGGGGAGAGGAACTGACTGGGAAGAAAACAGCAGAAAGGAAGGGAGGACAGAGATGAAGTCAAGGAAAGGGAAACCAAGGGGAAGCTAGAAACTCATTGAACTTCCTTGAATCCAGCTGCCGGGACTATTCACTCCTCTCATATTGGCAGCCAGTCGCCTTCCAGGCAAGTACTCCAGCAAGGTTGTTCAGGTGCCTAGTGTGCTCCCTATGGGCCAGCTCTCACCCAGCTCAAGCTTCCCCCCACCTAGAAAGGATGGTCAGCCTTGAGGAAGCCCCCAGGGCTGGCCTGCCGCCTTCCAGGAATGTCCAGGAAAACTCAAGGCATAGTGCACACGTGTGGCTTTACGCTCTGCCCCTGACGAATGGAGCCTGGGGTTTCCAGGCAGACACACATCTGTGCAAACACGTGCTCACACGCACTCCGACAGCTGGACACACTTACTGAAAACGCAGCGCTGATGGATTCTTCGCAGAAGGTTTCTCGCAGCAAACTTGGAGCCCCTGTCGCAAAAATGCCTCGTCTGCACTTCCAGGTTTGGCAAGCGTAGCTAACCCCCAAAGCCCCATGCCTCTAGCTGGAGTGGTTGGGCTGGAAGCCCTTGTGCTGGGAGAGCCTCTTTCACTGGGCAAACTGGTTGCAACTCTACTGGTAAAAGCACACTTTGCTGGTACAAGCCACTAGGCGGGTTGCCGGGACAGCAAGTGCTTGAGGCGTGTGCGCCCAAAAGCTTGCAGAAAAATATACACGTTTTTGCAAATTCTTAGTTGGTCTATGTCACAGGGCACCTCCGTGCTCCTGCTCCTAGAGAGGGGAAAGCTGCCAGAGGAGAAACTGCCAGGGAGAGAGCCCTGGCAGAACGCAGTGAGCACAGCTGTGAGTTGCCGGGGCAACTAATAAGAATCAGCTGGCCAGAAGGGGCAGGGCCTGGCCCTCATAAAGCCCAGGGCTGAGGCCAGGCTGGCAGTTCCCTGCCAGCAGCTGGAGAGGCAGGAGCTCCCTCGGCTGAGAGATGGGCAGACGCCCGATGGCCAGTACAGCTCGTGAGAGCTCCGAAGGTTGGAGTAATGGTGCTAAGTTATAGCCAGGCGGCTTGCTTTGTAGTGGCTAGGTGCCCTAGGTTTTAGTTGTAGCCAGGAGGCTTGCAGTATGTTTGTGGTTGGGTATTACACCGGAGGCTTGGGTGAGGCTGTAGGGGTTGGAGGAGGCCTCATAGGGACCCCAGAGGGGTGGGGCCCCAGCGCCAGCGAGGGCGCAGCGTCAGTGCAGGCGCAGCTCGCGGTGAGGAGCGCAACCAGTGGGTTGCAGGCGGGGAACAAAGGCCCCGGGTTGTGTGCGGGGTACGTAGACCCCAGCCCCAGAGAGGGGGTGATATTATTGAGAAGCTCGGCGCAGGCATGTAAGGTCCCCGAGAAGGGGAGACTGTTGAGGAGCCCGAGACGGGCGTAGCAAGCCCGGGTAGTGGGCTAGTGCTGCAATAGACCTCAGACATGGGCAAGGTGCTGCGGTGGACCCCGACGGCAGGGGCTAGCAGCACAAAGCCCAGGAGAAGGGGAAGGTGCGGCGGGGGTCCCCGGCAAGAGGGGATAGCAGCACGGTGCGCCCGGAGGGGGGAGGTTAGCAGCGCGGTGGGCCTAAAAGACCGTAGGGCTCGATACGAGTTCCCAGAGGGGATAAGGGTCCCTGAGCGGGACAACACTATTAGAGAGAGCCCAGAGTGGGCTAGATTACAGAGGAGGCCCGGGAGAGCGGGCAAGTTGATTTGTGACAAGACAACGTCTATCCCATCAGCGAGGCTTGGGGCGTGGTATTGGGGTAGTAGGAGCCACGCGTAGCCCATAAGGCTAGGGTGCCCCAAGGCACTCAGGGGTGCAGGATAAGACCCACGAGGGGTCCAGGAGTTTACGTGCCCAAGGAGACGCAAGGCAGCCTCCCAACCTTATTTAACAGCAAAGACATGGCGGGCGAGATTCGAGGGTGCCCTTGGGCCGAATTGGCATGGAGAGAGGGCCTTAAGGAGATCACGGCCCTCCGAAAGGACCCCGGCCGTGACAGTCTAATAAAAGGTATCATCTCTGAACCAAGAGTTCGAGAGTCTTGTATTTCTTTTTGTCTCAGACCAACACGGCTACCAAATACATCCCTGAAACCTAGAACTGGGGCCAGTTTAGCTGGCGCTGGGAGAGGATAGTGAAGAGGAAATGAGACAATAGGGCGCAAGGAAAGAGCACCTGAGATTGTACGGGATGGGATTCCTGTGTGCAGTGTTGGAGATGATGCTGTGCTTTCCTCTCTGCATTTGTCTTCAGCAGAGGATTTTCCTTCCTGCACAGACCCTGCCTTGCAGGGGAGGCTGGATGGAGCTCCCTTCCACCCAGGGCCTTTAATTAGTCACAGAGGCCCCTGGGGACTGTAATTGCCCTCTCACCCACTCCAGCCTTCACAGAGGTCCCAGCCCTGCCAATATGTGAAGTAGCATTAAGTAGGGCACGGTGAGAGATTATCCAGTTCAGAGAGGCATAAGCTTTCATAGATGACAAGCTATTTTGTCTGATGCTATCCTCTGTTGTCAGGGTTTGTAATGGTTAATGCAAACCCCAGGTTTGGAAGAGATGCTCAGGGCATAAGGCAATCTCTATCTAGGAGAGGCTTAATGGGGAGGAGGAAAAGACCTTACATCTGCTCCTACCGGATTGTTAAACCATCATCCGGATCAATTGACACCAGGCATAGTTGGAGATAGGATACTGAGTTGGGTGGACCTCAGGGCCGGTCCATCTAGCAACTCCTACATCCCCCTGCTTTCCACAGCAGTGCAGCCTGCTCGTGATAGGACTCAGGAGCGGGTTGCCTTCTCCACTGATCAGACTCGGGAATGAGGATGCCTGTTCGATTACAAAGACTCTTTGTCGACTCCGGTCTAGAGTCTCTCTCGAGTATAAGCCAAGCGAGGGCTACACGGCCTCGCCTGTGGAGCGCAGGAAGCAGGAGGCACATCAAGAAGGAGCTGGTGCAGCTTCCACAGTGGGGGGTGCTGGCCGGGAAGAGAGTGCAGCCAAGGGACGTGCAGATCCAACACGTTGGCCGAGCGGTCTCCTACGGGATGTGATGGGCTTGCTCTGAAGCACTTATAGCTCCCCCCTTCTGGGAACCTTTGCCTGGGGCGTGGGAGGATGAATGGGGGCAGGAGGTGGAGCTCACACAATGGATATTCCAGCTGCTGCCCTTGTCCAGTCATCCCAGGCTCTTTACTGGTCATGTATCACCAGCTACAGACTGAATTGTGCCTTCAGTGACACCTGAGCAGCCCGCTTTCCTTCAGCGGTGCTGCGCTGTGTGTCGGCCTAAAGATCCTGCTGGTGCTTGAGATGGGATGGAAACCATGCCTCACTCAGCCCTAGCATACTAACACTGCAAAATATCTGCTTGCGACTCGCGTGAGCAAACGTGGCTGAATGGGGAGTGAGGAGGGGCTGTTTTTACACTGAGAACAAGGTGCTTTTGGTCTTGGATGGAGCACGAATGTAGTTTCACTAGGATGCAACGTGCCAGAGTTGGTGACTCCAGGTTAGATTCAATCCCATCTCTTAGTTATGCAGGAGTGCGATGTTTTAAAACATGCATTTGGCTTTTTAAGCTGAAACCAGAAACAAATGGTAAACTTTCTTCCCCTGACCAGACTCAGACCCCTCTTCCCACTGAGTCCGCTCATGTTCTCTCCGCAGACCCCATTCCTCAAAAGCCCAGGGCAACAGGATCGGTAGCAGGATGGCTGTGCTTATTAACAATATCTCAAGGTTTTAAGGCCCAGACTACATTATAGAGCCTCAAAGCCTCCCACATTTGTTCAGGC